GGTGGATGAGTTGTGGTGATCTTTGGGGAAGATCTGGTAGCTGGTGAAACAGCTGAGGATCTCTCTGTCGCAGAGCTGGAAGTTTGTTTATCGGAAGTGGTTGTTGCATCGGTTGAAGTAATTTCTGTTACGGAGCTGCTAGTTTCTTTACCAGCGGTAGTTGGTGCACCACTTGAGGTACTTTCTATTGCAGAGCTTGGAGTTACTTTTCCAGCACTAGTTGCTGTATGAGTTGAGGTGCTATGTGTAACAGATATAGTACGTTCCTTAACAGGAGTAGTTGTTGCCGCTGTTTCTGCTGTGCTATTCGTTGCCGAGGTGGTACTCTGTTTATCTGCAGTAGTTGGTGTGTCAGTTGAAGTTCTTTCTGTCGCAGAGCTGGTAGTAGACGTATCGCTTGAAGTTATTTCTGTTGAAGAGCTGGAAGTACTTGATGTAACAGTTGATGTGCTTTCTTGTGCAGAGCTCGTCCTTTCTTTACCAGCAGTACGTAATGCATCAGTTGACAAGATGTCCGTTGTAGAGCTACCAGTTTGTTTACCAGAAGAAGTTGGTGAACCACTTGAGGCACTTTCTATTGCAGAGCTTGAAGTTTCTTTAACAAAMGTAGTTGGTGCTGTGCTATCCGTTACAGAGCTGGACCTTTGTTTAGCAGYAATAGTTCTTGCACTAATTGTTGTGCTCTCCGTAAAGAAGGCAGTACTTTCTTTATCACCAGTACTTGTGGCTACGGTAGTTGCAGCTATGACGCCTGTCGCCTCTTTGCCAACCGTCGTTGGTTCATTAGTTGTGGTGGTATCTGTGATATAGGAAGTTGTTTCCTTCTCACCAGTAGTTGGGGCCTCAGTAACTACCGAGCTATCTGTTACAGAGCCAGCACTAGCTTTTAATGTAGAACGTGACGAAGCAGTCATTTCTGGACTACCTGTTACAAAGGTAGTAGCCTCTTTACCTGRAGTAGTTGAATAACGTTGCCCTTCAACATTACTTGATTCGGTGAAATGTTCAGCACTAGTTTGTTTATCTGAAGTAGTTGTTGCATCGGTTGAAGTAATTTCTGTTACAGAGCTGCTGCTTTCTTTACCAGCAGTACTTGGTGCACCACTTGAGGTACTTTCTATTGCAGAGCTTGGAGTTACCTTTCCAGCAGTAGTTGCTGTATGAGTTGAGGTGCTATCTGTAACAGATGTAGTACGTGCCTTACCATCACTAGTTGCTGCCTTAGTTGATACTGTGCTATCTGTTACCGAGGTAGCACTTTGTTTATCTGCAGTAGTTGGTGTGTAAGTCGAGGTTCTTTCTCCAGCAGAGCTGGTAGTTCCTACATCTCTTGTTCCTGCTTCTCTTGAAGCTATTTCTGCTGTAGAGATAGAAGTACTTGGTGCAACAGTTGTCGTGATTTCTTTTACAGATCTTGTACTTTCCTTACCAGCAGTAGGTAAGGCATCAGTTGAGAAGATTTCCGTTTCAGTGCTGCTGGTTTCTTCACCAGCAGTAGTTTGTGTCTTGCTAGCTGTTGTGCTATCTGTTACCAAGGTGGTACTTTGTTTATCTACAGTAGTTGGTGTTTTAGTTGAAGTTCTTTCTGTCGCAGAGCTGGTAGTAGCTGCATCGCTTGAGGYTATTTCTGTTGTAGAGCGGGAAGTACTTGATGCAACAGTTGATGTGGCTTCTTTTGTGGAGCTTGTCTTCTCTTTACCAACAGTACTTAATGCATCAGTTGAGAAGATTTCAGTTGTAGATCTTCCAGTTTGTTTACCAGCAGCAGTTGGTGCACCACTTGAGATACTTTCTAATGAAGAGCTTGAAGTTTCCTTAACAGCACTAGTTGGTGCCTTAGTTGATGCTGTGATTTCCGTCACGGAGCTAGTATTTTGTTTACCAGAAGTAGTTCCTGTAACGGTTGAAGTTGCAGAGCTTCTAGTTTCTTTACCAGCGCTAGTTGTTGAACCACTTGAGATACTTGTTATTGCAGAGGTTGGAGTTTCCTTCCCAGCAGTAGATTGCGTATAAGTTGAGGTGCTATGTGTAACAGATTTTGGACTTTCAGTAGTCTCCTTTGCCATACTCTCAGTTGTGATTGAAGGAGCTTCAGTAATTGGTGAGGTGGCAACTTTCTTGTTTGTTGTTGGACTTGCAGTAGTCTCCTTTCCCATACTCTCAGTTGTGATTGAGGGGCCTTCAGTACTTGGTGAGGTCGCAACTTTCTTGTTTATTGTTGGACTTCCAGTAGTCTCCTTTGCAATATTCTCAGTTGTTAC